CTTTAGCAACATAGTATACATTACTTCCATTAAGAAGGAAAAGAAGACTCAAAGGCTGGGGGAATAATCAATGCATTTCAATGCCTGGGTGAGATTTTTTTTAACAGACATTTTCTTTGCTGTGTGGTTTTCTGCTGTGATGTGACACAATAGCATGTGCATGCACTTCATGAAAAGCATTTCATGACCCAGCTTTGCTTCCTTTTCAGAACTGTTTATGCTCTATTTGGGTCTCTGCAGATGTGCCAGCACAGAACAGGGAACAACACAGCTTTAGAAACAATACAATCCTTTGAAGAAAAAGTTCTGCAGAGCTTCCACAAGAGAAAGGGTCAAACAGCCAGACAACAGCCAGTCTATTCCCTTTGGTGTGGCTGCCTCTCCTCCACTTGCCTGTCTGTCATTTCCAGCCAAAGATGAGTTCTATAATGAGAGGCCTTGATTCATTGCAATTCACCTGTTATCCCCATCCCTCTTCTGATGATCTCAGAACATTTTCCTTTCATGGGCAGTACTTCATCTATGTAACGAGGTTTTTGTAGCAGGAGACTGCAGGGGTGGTTTCTGTGAGAAGACATCAGAAACTGCCCCTATGTCCACTCCAGACAGCTCCAAAATGGACCCACCACTGCCCAAAGCTCAGCAATGCTGGTGGTGTCTCTGCGATAACAAATTCAAGAAGGGGTAGAAGCTGAGAGAGAGGCATGAGAAAATACAGAAGAAACAGGCCTACAGATACCAAGGTCAGAGAAGAGGAGTTGCCACAGATTCTGGAGGACTTGGGGTGCCCCAGGTTCAGAGAGGCAGCAGAGGTGTGGAGGGCAAAGTTGTGACATCATATTTAACCAGCCAACCAAAGTCCAAAATGAATCCTCTAAGCCCACATACACAAGCACCATGCCATCTGAAATTACATCTGCCTCTTGAAGACAAACAAATTGCTGTACAACAGAAAGTTTATGGGTGGCTAGAGCATGAATGACAACGGTATATTCTTCCTAACACTGACAAGGTATATTGAGTTTTTAAAAGAGTTTTGAGCAGCCAAACTGCTGAAATTTCTCAGTCTATCATTCCAGAAATCCAGGAAGGTCTACATCTACTCTGTAGGGCCCACAGTAAAAGAACTACACTTAGTCATTGGAGGCACAAGAGACACAGCGATGGGAGCAAAGAGAGGCCATGGGCTGGACCAACCCCAGGATTCCCAGCTCTGAACAATGCCTCTCCACTGCAAGCTGCAGGGCACACTTCTCCTGCACTGGCCATCCCCCCACACCAGACATAATCTTCCCCATTTGGGGTGAGCAGTATCCCTGGTTTCCCTGATTTTTGCGGAGCAGAGGGATATGCAATTCTACTAGACAAAGCTGTGAAGATGCCCATCTCCACTGCCTGCAGGCTGGTGGTGCAGCAAGGCAAAGAGCAGCAGAGCACAGATTTTCAGGGGACAGTGCATCCCTACAAGAACACTGGGACTGGAGTCTGCTGGAATGCTGGACTTGAGATTCAGCAGGTTCCTATAGAGCCTGCTAGGGCTAATTAATGCTCCCTCGAGGCACCCTCCAGATGGAAGGGGAAAGTGAGAGACAGACAGCCAGACAGGCCAACACTTCAGACATCTGAGCCAGCTGGGCTCCATGGGCAGAGCTTTCTGCTTGCCACTTTCCCCAGTGAGTCTTGCCTGCTCTGCAGCACCACACCAGGAGAACCTGAGACAGCAAAGCTCTGGTGTCCGTGCAGTTCCCTTGTTGCAATACATTGATCAGAGCTCTCTTAAAGAAAGTGGCCTGGATATCTGAGACACCTATTGATTGCTCCATTGGCTCTCTTCCTGCCCTGATCCTCATTCACTCAGCATTGCCTGAATAACCTGCATGTCTATGTCAGGGCCAGTCTCCCTGGATCTTAAAGGGCTGCATTCACAGCTTTCTGCGCAGCTGCAGCCCGCGCAGGGAGAAGAGATGTCTGGTGACCCTTATATGCAGGCCCCAAGTGGAGGATTCAAGTCTCCTGCAGCATCAAGCTGAGCATTTCAAGTGCAAAGCAGACCTTGAAGTCACGGTTATTTATTTTTTGCCATCTTTGAGTACTGTTGCCTTCTGCTTCTAGAACAAGGTAAAGCCACATGCCCAACAGGCAGGAGATGGCATCATGTATGGCAACAATAATCAGGAAAATGAGAAAAAATCATGAAGCCCTTAACTAATTACTAATGGAATATCATATTCTTCTTGAGCAAAAGCATAGTTTCTTTACCCAGAAATATCCCCACTGAGTTACAAGCCCAGTGGCTTGCCCAAGGACATTAAGGAGAAAACTGAAGAGAAGAACTGATTTCTAGATCTTGCCTTTAACCAAAAGACTGCTTTTCTCCAAGCTTTTGATAATCAAGCAGGACAGAGAACATGGCTTAGCAACCTTCTGCCATGCATGAACCCAGGGATGATGAGAGAGGTACACCAAGGAAAAGTAGAAAGGGGATCTATTAAAAGGGAAAATAATCATAACCCAAATATCAAGAGACCTCTTGTCTTAATGAGAGTTTGGAGACTGCAGAATAGGCTCTCTGGGGAAACCAAAACATCAGGGATTCTTAAAAACAGTTAAACTACTAGAATGGTACAGTTGGGAACACTCGTGCCTTGGCAGAGAAAAAGGATGGATGAGCTAATAGGACGACAGATCAGAGATGGAAAAGACCATTGAACCTTTTCTAATCTGAAATCCCTTGTCAATTCTGCATTTTGAGCAATTCAAACAATTATGGATTTGTTCTTTCTAGAAACTCTTGGCTCTGTGGAGACCAAATCATGTGACACCATTTTTCTCCCTTCTTGGATTTGGCTTTTAAAGATGTATATTGATTGAGTTCTGTATACTAATACTTTGTGCTTCCACCAAGCTTCACATAAAGTTAACTAATTGGTCCTCACAATTATTTTGCAAAGCAAAGCAGTATGACCCTTATTTCTCAGCTTGGGATACTGAGCAAAAGAAAGAAAAAAAGATGCCTGCCCAACATCACTTGACCACTCTCTGTTAGGACACAGGACCCCTATTTGCAGATTGCTAGGGTAGTCTCCTCTGCTCTTCTTGATATTATCATGTGCTCTTGTATCCCATTGCTATCAATAAATCTTTATGCTGTATTTTCCACAGCTCTAAATATTATGGGCAGGATCATAGATACACTAACATCAATAGCAAACCACTCTTCCCCAGTGACTTTAATGATGCCTGATCAATCCCTATATGAATAACTTAATACACTTCAGCACAAAAGCAGCCATAGAGTCAAATTTCAGTTTGCCACGGGTAGTATCCCACAGGGTGTGGGAGTTCAGGCACAATGTGGTACAAGTGAATTTACACTGCTTTCCAGACTAACTCTGGTCTGGAAGGAGTTAACTGTTTTCACAGAACTTGGAGGCTAAGACATAAAACCCTTCACAGGACCCTACTCTGAACAGTGCTGAACTCCCAGAACTGGAAGAAGAGATGCCAGCACACCAGCACTGCCTCCTGTGACTGCTCCCCCAGCTGCCAGCTCCAAGAGGCTCAACTGCTCAGAAGCAGGACAGCACAGACACTGGCAGCCAGCAAGCCTGAACCTGTGCAGCTGCTCTGCAGAATGCCTGGAGCCACTACAGGCATTTAAGGTTGTTTGTGGGATTCATATGAATAGGCTACAGTGCATTAACAACCTGCACTGCCACTAAAGCCAGTGTCACCAGTGTATATTGGCTTTAGTGGGTAGTGGGATACATCCCCTCCCTGAACTACCACATGAAGAGAAGCAGGTTTCCAGTGGTCTCTAACTACAAAGCAGGTGCCTCCCTCCCAGTAGGAGATCAAGATGCTCTGAGCCTACCACCTCTACACCTAGGTCAGGAAGGGCCGAACTGCAGAAGCTTGCATCTCCTCCCGTGGTAACTGGTATGCTCTAGAAGAAAGATATTTAACCTCAGAAACTACACATCCATCAAAGAACAAAATGGGTTTAAGTCTAATCTACATTCTTAACAACACTGGCTGCCATCAACCTGCCTCTCAAGAAATGAGAGAGCTCTAGTGAGAAGCAATACACACTCAACTGACATTGTACAATTTATTACCAGCTGCTGTGATGTTATGACCTGGAAGAAAGTTGTATGCTGGCATCTTGGCTCCAGCATACAGGACTCGTGCATAACCACAGCTGCTTCTTGTGGTTAAGCTGAGAGGACCTCGCTCTGCTGGCACAGTGATGCAGAGGGCTATGTGCAGCGTTTCTCCTTCTTTCCCCTCCTCCCCTCACTGCCTTTCCCAGAGGGACCCAAGGGAAACAAACCTTTAAAGTCAATCCATAAGAATGTGTTTAATTGCCACTGAATTCCCTGTGGTTCCTCTTGAATAGACAAGGATTGAAAAGGAGGGTGTGGGAGGAAAAACAGCACAGGAGAGAAGCTGAACACTGCTCAAAGAGTGCTGAACAGATCAATAGGCTGAGCAAAACACAGCCTGAGTATGCAGAGCAGGGGACCCACAGCTCCCAGACAAACCTGTGCTACCAACCATCTTCAGAAAGTCTCCTGAGTGGTAATACAGGCAGACTTTCATTGCACACTGTGCAACAGCTATGAATTAACTCCATCCTTCCCTTATGAAGAGCTGCCAACCTAGTAATGAGAGCCTCTCCTCCTCAACACCAAAAAATTACAAGAGTGCAAGAAGAGAAACACCCTCCAGCCCAGGGCTCCTTTGGGAAAGGAAAGGGCCTGGCACCACCAGTTTCCAGTTGTTTAATAACAGAGCACGAGAGCCCTGACTAGAACCACTGTCCTCTCTGGACTGCCCCCTTGGTCACTGCCCATCCTGACTCTCTAACAAAGCCTGTAGAAAGATACATTCAGAAACACAAAGAGGGCAAGCATGTAGTTAGCCTGGGAGATTCTGCAAGGTCTGGAATCCCAGACACTGTTGGGACAGAGAAAATTTTCATTCTGTCTCTGTCTTACCTTCTTTTAGCATCCCCACTTTGAGGCATTTCATGAAGCGACAGGCCTGACAGGACTTGCGCCTCCGTTTCGTGATCTCACACTCATTGGTGGCCGGGCAGCTGTACTCAATATTCCCTGAAAGCAAACACAGACATGGTCACCCAGGAATCATGTTCTCCCCATGGATAGGCTGCAGTGCCCAGATATTTCCATCACCATCAGTCTGTAAATGTTGCATGGTTGCTCATTCACTTACACACACATCCTCTGGGACTCTACCCTGCTGACCCAGCCAAGGGGATGACAGCAGTGCTGGGCTTTCAGGCACGTGTCCTCCAGGCATGTCATCATCCCTTGTGCTGCACCCCTTGAAACCTGGGCTGCTCCCTGAAGTCCAGGGATGAGAGTGGGAGCAGTTCAGTCATTACTAGAATTTCCCTTGCTGCCAGTCTTGCTCCATGTCTGTGGGATGGATGTCACCTGCCCTTTCTTGTCCTGCTTGGGCAACCAGGGAGCTCAGAGACAGCATTTTCTCCTTTGCTTCCTCCTGCCAGCTGGCATACTACAGGTAGCAAGGAAGCAATAGGTCTGCATTGAGAAAGGTGGGTAACATGTCCTGTAAAATGAACATGGATTCTCTGTGCAATCTTTAAATTTTTATTTTATTAGTCCTTGTGTACCTGCTGTCATCCTCTGCACAGGATTCTTTCCCCCTTCCCACTTTCCTCATTCCCTTTTATTTATGATCACCCCTCAACACTGCCTATAAGACAAAACTAGAAAGAAGCACCCCAAATTTATTTTTAATCACATCATATTTTATTATAAGCCAAAATATAACCAAAACATGGATGCAAGGGTCTGATAAAAGGATGTAAGTGGAATTATGCTGGATCACAGTATAAGACAACAATTATTTAGTACTAGAAGACAACAAACAGAATCCTGCCATTTACTTTGAGCTGATGTTTCTGAAGAGGGCTGGGCAATGTTTGCTGTGGAGCTGGACTGGAAATCCAAACTTGGCACTGATGCATTGACAATGACAACACATTTAAGGCAGTCTAGTTACTGGTAAATCAGGCAGCACTGAAAAAGGTACCTAAGCTCTACATGGGTGGAACAATAGAAAAGCTGGTTTAATGATTTAGAGTAGGAAACTGAGGTTTGAGAGTTCAATCAGACCTGTAGGGAGAAGTGTAGGTAAGAGCTGAGAGAACACACAATATGGACTTTGTATAGCATCAGATTAGAAGTATAGTTTACAGTTTAGTAATACTGGGACAAGACTTGATTTCTATTCCTACTTTTGTAATGGATTTTTGTGTTTTGTGCAAGACCTTCCCTCCTCTAAATAAAGATCAACAATCTGAAACATATCAATCTCTGGGGGTGGTTAATAGACCTTGGGGCTCACTAAGCTATTGGAAAGCCCCTTGGATTTCTGAGTGGAAAAACAAAGCACAGAATCAAAAGAAAGAAAGCACCATTTGATTTATCTCATTATTCTTGGCCCATGCTGAGTGAAACCCCAGGAGCACCCAACTCCCAAAGCCTAAAGGTGGTCAGCCTACTAGCTATAAACATTCTTCCTCTTGCTTCTTGTTTTGTCATAAGACTTGCAACTTCCCCTAAGCTTCAGCCCAGCCACCCCATTCCTCTCACCACTGCTCATCTGCCCCCAAATGCAGTTTGTCAGCAAGAACAGAGTGTGCTGCACGAGTTGCTTCCACTCAGGCTGTATTTCGTCATTGTGCAGCATCTGAATTTCAATAGCCAGCCATGTATCAACATTCTCAGAGAGCTGGAAATTGAGATTCAAGCTAGATCTCAAGGTAATAAACCAATTCCTGTTCTAGACACAGAGCTCCAGCACATTACAGACCCATGAGTATGGTGGCCTTGATCTCATGATCAGATACTTGCTGTGCCCCGCACAGGAAGGAACAGAGCAGGAGCAAACCTGGGAAAAATCTCAGACACAGTCTCACTTTTTTTTTGCCTTTGTTTGAATGCCAACCTTTCTGACCAAAGACATGATCAGAGCTCTGGAGAGATACTAGATTTCATGTTTTGTGGTCCAAAAGCCGAAAATTTGCCCCCTAACATAGTGACACTACAGTAAGGACGCTGAGCCTTTATAGCAGTGGGAGACAGTGACAGCTCTCATCTGGAAGCTCAAGGTCCCTCCATAGCGTCAAGCAGATCCCCAGGCTTCCCCATGCCTCTATTCCCTGGATCCTTTGGCAAGCATAGACTGGAAGGAGTCTACAAATCCTACACCACAACTAATTGGGAGAGTGTCAGAGATGTGTAGGTACTGGTTACCCTGTACACACTCCATGTGCAGCTCGAATAAGCAGCTCTCAAACACGCGTCTGTGCTGGGATCGTGATTGCTAAAGGAGCCTCAGAGGAGCCTAAGCACTGGGAGTTTTATATCAGGCCCCAAAAGATGCTGTGCACTGCAGAGATTGAGAGCCACAGCTGGGGCAATGCCTGCCATTACTGCAGAAAGCAGGGGCATCACTAGGGAAGGCACAATCAGCATTACCCAAGCAGAACTTGACCAGAAAAAAACCTGTCATTTCCAAAGTTTACCAGAGTTCTCGGGTTTTTTTTTTGGGTTTTTTTTTTTTGTGTCTCAATTTCTTTTATGGGTCCTGGGGCTGGCTGCCAGCACAGTGAGTTGCTCACAGCTCCCTGTAATTTCTGTAAGTGCCCTGTGATAAAGTGATGAGATTAACTCATCGAAATTCCAACAGTCTCCCAGTGGCTGGCAGTCACATCACCAGCCCAGCTGCCAGCACAGGGGCCTCGGAGAGAGCTTCCCTTCACTGCAGCAGCTGGGGATGCTGCAAAGTCCTGCAGAAGAGTGTCAGCACACAAAGGTGCACACAGACATGGACAACTCTGTATGCAACTACAAAACATGAGTGAAGTCTCTGTGTGTCATGAACTGTAAATTATGTGCCCCAGAAGGAAATGGGGGGGAAAAAGGGGATAATTCAATAGACAAGGCCTTGCTTTGAGCTGTTGCTTATTAGAGAGATTTCCTTTACTTAGAAAATAGTTACATTTGATCTTAAAAAATGGTAGAACCTCAGCAATGCTATGGCACAAGATTTACCTTAAAAATGGTAATCAAGTGGTAGGTGAACAGATCAGAGTTTGGATTTCTTGTAGCCTTCATATATCACCTTGGAGGTCAAATCACTTCCTCACCATGTCCTAGTTTGCTCATCTGCAAAATGAAATGAACACCAAACCTACCTTCTGGAGAGACTGTGAGTCTTTATTCAATAAGGTGTAACTGTACTTTAAAGCCCTTAGATGAGAGATGCTACAAAACAGCAAAGGACTATTAAAGTGATAGATCATGCTTCTTTATGCTGGAGAACTGCAAAACTGCCCTATTGTCTGCAAAATTAGACCTCTGACTGTTAAACAATTTGGAATGTATTTTTTAGTGCACATATAATCAGTAGCACCTGAAAAAACTGTACACCAAAACTTCAAGAGACCCTACATTCACCCTACCTCTCTGGAACAGGATGGACTGGGAAGACAAGAATGCCTCCCTGAGCTTGGGGAGCACAGAAAATCCCACCCATCTCCTGCTTAAATTAGGGATAGGGGTCTCAGGGGAACAGAGCTTGAAATCAGTACAGCACTGGGGACACAAGCTACTCCCTGTTGCTGGTTCTACCTTTCTAGAAAGCCTTTTTGCAAGGAAACCCAGGAAAGACTGGATAAAAATAGCCAATAAAGTCCTTAAATAATTTTCAGCTTCTGTTTGCTAAAAAAAGCCCATCTTGCTTTTTCTTGTTTCTTCTTCATTGCTCTTCACTTCAGTTAGTCCTTCTAGCTGAGGCATCACAGCTCAAGCCCTGGTGTGAGGAGAGGTACTTTGTGAAAATCAGAGGTGTATCTCTCAGTGATATGCATGAGGTAAGAAGGGTTATTTTTTAAGGCTCAGCTTTCAAATAAAAGGATTCAAATGATGCTACAAGGAAAACAGGATACATATAGGTGTAACACCAGCACTGTTTGCCTCCTCAGGGTGGCACACCTGCCTCCTGCTCACAAAAGAAGGCTTGGACATTTCACAAAACCTCACTCAAATCAGCCTCCTGCTTGCACAAACATGCAGGAAGGGGGTTCTGGGGCTCCCTATCAGCAGCAAATTGTCTATAGTGTTTCAGGCACAGAAATATTTTACAGAACTTCCACAGAAAAGATCCTTCTGCACAGAGCTCGCTGTACAGATGTACTGAGGCAAACAGAAAACACTAGGTTAATAGAGCTGAGGTTGCACTGAAGATGGTTTTTTAGATTCAACTGATCTGTGAATAGTAAGCAGCAGCCAAGCACCAGATCATGAAATACTGCACTTACCCTGGGAAACCTTTAGAAGTTTTTGGAAAGCTGTGAACTCCCACCTAAAAAGTAGCAGGGACATTTCTGAGAAGGACAGAAGGACAGGACAGTGCCCAGCTGATGTGGATGCTACTATAGGGACACAAAACCTCCTTTGTGAGTGTGGATTGCAACACTCTTCTGCTCAGGAAAACCTCTGTCAACCACTCCTCTTCCTAGGAGCCACTCCAAGCACCACAACAAGAACCAGAAAGCCCTAGAAGACTTTATTACAAGCCTGTTATAAATCCCTACAAGTCTTCTGAGCTGCAATATCCACCTTTTAAGCCCCTTATTGGTGTAAAGAAATCCCAACACAGCAGTTCTGTTGCTACACTCAGCTTGAAGCTTGCAAGACTCAAGCTGCAAATCCACAGATGCAGACACTTTGCCCTAACACAATTTTCCTACCCAGAAGATGATGGTAAATGTGTCTCTTTGAATCTCCAATGTTTTGCTGAGCTTTGAGTTTTTATTTTATAATAATGGGTCATTTTAGAAATAGCCTTTATTTTCACCATTTGAAGATGAAAAATAGATGCAAGGTAGTTATAGTCATGAGTATATTGAATAATAAAGGACTCATATCGTTACACAGCACTATTATTAGTCAATATTCAAAGTAGGCAAAACTACCTACTAGTTGTAACAATTAATGAACAAAAGAGAATGACAATATATTTGACTGATACATAATGCTCTACTTACTGAGCAAACTCTTAAGAGAAGGAATAGACTTTGATTGAGAATTTCTATCCCGCAAAAAAATCCAGTATTTGCCTTTGTCTAAATTTGGATGAAAGGATTCCTTAGGATTTCCATGAAACAGAAATTAAAAAAGCTTTTATTTATAAACATCCAGAACTATATTTTATGTAACAGACCCATTCCTTTACATTCAACTAGTATGAAATCTTTCGTTTCAAATCAGACTTCTCTTGAGCACCAATGGCAGCACACTTAAACATGTCTGAAATCAGATTCTCTCCTATCTGCACTAGATTGCACATTCCACAATATTCACAGTCAGGTGAGGTAAATGCAAACTGCTACTAGAATATAATCCCATGAAACAGTACAATGATAGAGAAACAGGATTAAAATTTTGTCAGCCTAGCTGAGACTGAAAATGCTTCAGGTCAGTTTAGGATTTCTGACTGCTTCAAAGCATGGGAAATATAATCCTGGGGTTCAAAATATCATGTACAGAGAGAAAGACCTGCAGCCCAGGGATGTGTTCTCTCATCTCACCTCAGGTTTTCATTTTTCTGTCTCAAGCATTGCCAATACTGCAAAGTGGAAATGCCACACAGGTTTCCAGGCCTTGATCCTTGGGCAATGTAACACAACATAAGAAAGGACAGAGGTGTGACACTTCCCCATAATCTGTGGGACAGGTTAAGGGTGTGTTGGGTGATCCTGTCTTCCTGTCCTAGCTCAGGAAAACCAAACACTCCATTTCAGCTAGAAGGGAATCAATGGTTTGGATTCTCCTGCCTTCTTTTTTTTCTCCTACCATCAAAATTTTTCTTGAGGAAATCTGACTTGATAAAAATTCCACTTTTCTTTCGAAAAATCCTACTGACAGAAAATTCCTACACAGCAATATTAGTGACCTCAGAGATATTCAGTCATGCTGGCTCTCAGTCTATCTTCTCCCCATCATTTGAAAAGCAGCAGCCCTTGTGCTGTCCATGACAACCTGGCCTCACCTGGCCAAGTGAAAGTCAGCTGCAAAAAAGTCATCATGCTTACAGAAGGCCTGCAGCTTGGATGTCCCTTCTTTCTGCTGCTGCTAGAGCAGCAGAGGGAGTCAAAAGGCCATTGCAAGATACTCTTGCCTCAAGATATGCAGGTTTTATGTGAGTTAATGCAGCTTAAAAAACTGTAATAGGCACGAGGTAATTTGTAGCGGGGGGAGAGAGCAGGGCTAGTGGGCAGTGGGACCTGATGTGAAGCTCTGCTTCATGATCAGGGGTGTCTAGATAGGGCAGCAGTAGTTTAGTAACTCAGCACAGATTCAGACCCATTTTATGGCAGCACACTCGTGTAAGGCCAGCAGAGCAAGTATTGTCATAGTATTCATGAGTTTTTCACCTGTCAGTACTCAAGCACAGAGAAGGGAAGTGGCTTGTCCAAAACCACAAAAGCCTGATGATGAGTTTACCTATTCCATCTCTTGAGCATCTGGGAAGTCCTGGGGTCATTGCTCCACCTCAGTGCCCAAACCATTGAGTCAATGCCACTCCCACATACTGAATCATGGCAAGATTTTGGTACTAGGACACTGGGAAAGCAGTTATACAACATACACATCTGCATCCTTTCTGCAAAGCCCACATCAGTGTTAGGCAGCCTGGATGAAGATGTTTCACTTTGTCTGTTAGATGCTTCAAACAGCTACTGAATATAATAAAGTTGCAGGATAATGGAAATGCTTTCCTTTTGGAAATGCTCTTGCCACTCGCCTCCTCTTTCATTTGATCCTTAAATCCTTTCCTCTGCACACCCAGGGCTATACTTGGATATCACTCCCACAGCAGCAGAGCCCTGGGAACAGTGCATTTTCTTGACTCTACCAAATTCTGCAGACCTGTTTGCTGCCCACTTCCTTGGGCTCAGCCTTCAGCACCATAGCTGAAATTGCTCACCTTCAGGCACAGCACACTTGAATCTCTCTGAGAAATAAAAGCATTTTGGTACCTCAGTTGCCAGCCCAAGCTGATGACAGGGTGAGAGAAATTTCCACTTACTCCTTTCCCCGCCCCCCCCCACATCTGCTACATGTTAACAGGCAATCAATTAGGGAACCACAGGGAGAAAGAATATGGCTCTGCTAGGGAAAGGAAGATGGAGGGAAGCACTCTCCCCTGTTGGGATTCAGTAAGCTGGCATATTACCTGGCTGATACAGGCTCCATGTTCTGCTACCATGCATTATTTACTTTTGAAGAGTTTTCAGAGAGAAAGTTCCTATGTCTTTTTCTCCTTCTCAAGATCTCTTCTCCTCTGCCACAGAGTCCTCCAGTATCACTTCCATGAAGTGTTAATTATCTGGTCTTTCCCTGTATTAGAAGACACCAGGACTTTGCTTCAGAGTGCTACCTTGTCCCTGCCTGAGCACCTGAATGTGCCTAAAAGAAACACTAGGAAGGGTCCAAGGGCTGGAGAAAGGATGGAGTCAGTGCTGACAGAAATGCAAGTAAAAGTTCACATTCAATCACAGAGATTCAGCAGTGACAAATCACAGAAACCCTGCCAGGGAACAGGCCAATGCTAGGCCTGTTGAGATGGCCATGGTATAATAAAGAAGGAAGTATCAGTGGGGCAGAGTAATTATTTCCACAGCTAGATTTCCACATTAAGGAGAGATATCTGAAATCTATGAAAACAAGATAGATATAGTGACTTTTGAGGAGACCTGGGATAAACTGCACCCCGTACTGCTCAAGAGTTGAACATCCCCAGCAACATAGTGTAATCAGATCCATTCAATTAACAAAGTGAGTGGTCTCTCCACATGTGCATTTCTTTCATTTCACAGGAGGCAAGGAAGTATTGATGTGGTGGACTAACCCCAGCCAGCAGCCAAGTACATGCACAGCTGCCTGCTAACTGTAGAGCTGCCTTCAGTCAGCATTCCATATTTGGGCAAACCCAATACACTTCCCACTGGCAGGTGAATGATCCTGTCCTTTTTCCAGTTAGTGGAGGAAATAAAGGGAGTATCTGTACTTCCAGGCATGTTTGCTCACATGGGCCATGTGTATATAAGTATACCCAAGCATCCACGGATATTGGAAGTTGTTTGGATGCACTCCTGCTTTTGATTATATTGTAGCTGCACATGTGCACATCTGCAAGCACACTTTTGGCAGTCAGGACACAGCCATGCTCCTCATATGTGAATTGTACATGAAGGAGCAACGCACTGCAATTCATCTACACATGCGTGCATTGAGGTTTTCAAAATCACCTGAGGAATGGCTCGTCCTTAGTGAGGCTGACAAAAACTTCATCTTCTTCAGTGCCTAGTTTTTTTATCCTCAAAGAATATGCATCTTAATGAAAAAGGCTGGTGAAACTGGAAAAGGAGAAAAAGACTGACTATCACAAAAGTTCTCTGTCCAGATTTGTGCTGAGGTTTGTATGGATTTCATTGCTACATATCAGGACTAGTAGGACAGTAGAATTTCTCTACTCTTGTAATGCTGGAGCTTTCACCTCAGGGTACAGATATGTCTACATAAATTCCATCTCTTGGCAGAAGCATCTACTCTTCAAATGGGCCTTAAAACACCATTAGAAGGCAAAGCACTTCCGGTTCAGGCCTTACTCCATTAGCTGCCACATTCTCATAGTATCAGTGCCACTAGCAGAGGCAGGAAGATCCACTAGTCCAGATACCCAAATCTGGTAGCCAGTCAGGCATGGAATTTAGCAAAGGTTCCTACCATCACATAGTCTAACTCCATGTCCATATTGATTTGGAAGGACCAGAACTGAGCAAGAGGAGAGAGGAAGCATACAAAAGGATGGAGAGTTAGGTGCATTACATTCATTCTCCCTTTCCCCCTTTTATACGACACCACAGTCTCAGCAACATCTGGGGCCATGTCCCTTTATTTCTATGGAGTGAATGCCTCAGTTCGCATTCCTTCCCGCCATACCTTGAATAGTCCTCTTGAAGAAGGCTTTACACGCCTCACAGGAAGCCACGCCGTAGTGGTACCCCGAAGCAATGTCCCCGCACACCAGGCACAGCCGCTTGGGGATGGCATTGAGCATGTACTCGCACTTGGTGGGCGAGTCCTCCATGATGGCGCTGGCGCAGTCATCGTAGCGCTTGCGGCAGGACCCGCCGCCGATGCCCGTGCCGTTGAACATGGGTGGCGAGTCCAGGCCATTGGGGTGGCCCCCCATGGCCATCCCGTAGCCACCGCTGGCGTCGGAGGAGCCGCTTGGGCTGTGGTGGCTGATGGCGTCGATGCCAGAAGAGGGGCTGGAGGGCTCGGTCTTGATGAAGGACCCACAGCTGGAGGAGAGGTGCCGCTCCTCCGTGGCCATTCTGCCGAGCAGCCTGCAGGGAGAGAGCAAAGCACTCAGCAACCGCCTGGCCAAACCCCATTCCAGGTTTACTCAAAAGAGAGCCCTCCTTTTGCCACCTCAGTCCAACTCCAGTTGGCTCAGGAAGTTCAACCCCATGCAGGCTCTTCTTGAGGAATATTGGTAAAATTGACTAAGACCAGCCCACCTGCTCCCCACAGACTCACACTAAAGACAAAGCTCTTCGTGTAGATCATAATTTCAGGCTCTTCACAGGCTGCAGTGCTGGGAAGGAGCATGAGTGCTGATGAAGCACAGTCTACCCAGAGCACCATCTACCCTGAGACAGCAGAAGGAAACAAGCTTCCCTGTGGCAGACCAGGTGAAAAAGGTGTTTGGTAGAGAATGGGCTGTCCTAGCTTTATGCAAAATGTTCAGTAGCATATTCTGCAGAAAGGACTGGCTCAGATTGGATTTTCATTTTTTCATTTGTAATACAGAAGTCTTTGATTAATTTTCAAGTTTAACTCCTTCTCTCACTGCATCTCACCCTTTACCCTGCCCTGCTGCACTATCATCACTAAAAGAGGAGCTTCAAAACAGAAGGAAAAATCATCTGCTCAAAAAATCATCTGCTCAGTCTTAAATCTTAATCTTTCTTCTATTTACTAGTATTGAGCTTTTGCACGGCCACACAAATTCCCGCTTCTTAAAGAGGGGTTATACTCTAAAATTTATGGAAAGAACGTCACCATTTCAGTTCAGGAAAGAACTTTTCAAGCATTTTGTATTTATTTTCATCACAGATAGTCTTATTCCTTTTAAAAGTGTTCAGTCTTTTTTTTGGAAGATTGCTAAATGTTATGATATTTACAGCAATGAGTTTCAGGGATTACTTGTGTGGTGTATGAACAAATCCCAGTTTTATTTGCCTATAATATATTCACAGTCTGTCAGGATCCCTGAACATCTCCTGACTCTCCTTCTCAGGAAATGTAGTTTTGCCATGTTCTCCTCATTCAGCTCTTCATTATCTATATGATTGCTCTCCATTCAGAAGATTTTGCAGATCTCTTATCTGCTTCATCATCCATCTCTGAACTTCCTTTAGTCTGGCTATTTCTGTTCAGTCCAGAACAGAGTTCAATGAGCCAGCTCCTCAGCAGCATGGAACTGGCACTGTTCCATCACTTCTCCAGCTGAAGGTCTGGACAGTAGTCAAGGCAAAGACACGCCATTACCTAGTGACGTTACAATATTTTCGAAGTTATTTTCAGTCTACATATTATGTAACTCCTTGCACTGTTTGCTTTTTTCCCCTCTTTAAATGAAAACCTGAATTGTTACCATTTCTTCAACAAATAGTATTAGGAAGTTACTTAGTGCAACACTCCATCTTATTCCTGAGTTGCTACAGTTAATTTAGAATCATTTAAGATGTATGAAAAAATCAAATTAACCGTTCTGGTGTGCAATGTTTTTTTAATAGTCACCAGTGTATTTCATGTGCTACTATGCTGTGCAGGCCACACACCCAGCTTTATTAGGATCCTCTGGAGTTCTTCACTCTTCCTTGGTAATTTGATTTCATCTGCAGTCTCATTGTTCACCCACTTCCCAGATCATTAACACATGGATCAAACACCACAATACTGATCTTTGTGGGTAATGCATGTTAACCTTTATCATGCTGAAAATTGACTTCTCTTTCTTTTCTGAGTAGGGTCTTTGACACCTTTTAATTGATAATAGTATTAACCTGAGAGGTTAAATTTTCCCTTCAGCAAGACAATTTGTCAAAGGCTTTAAGAAAAACTAAACATGCATTTTCCTAATGACATGGCAAAGAATTCTGACTGACTTGAGATGCTTGACTTTTCTTCTTGGAACCTCTGCTTGTTTAAAGTTTTCACACCATGGTCATGTGGGTAATTTCTATTTCAGTTTCAGCCTATTTACCTGGTATTTGTGGCAACTCCTTCTCCCAAGGATTCAAATCCATCAGGGGACAGGACAAAACATTCTGCAAATCAGCAAAGCTGGAGTGCACACTTTTATGTATCACATCTGTGAGTCTGATGATAGGAATATAGATGTTTGATATGCAGTAAACTCACGGTCCTGCATCCTTATGATCTCATTTGACCTAAGTATCTCCTAATTTTCCCTTCTCTGTTTCATCCTCAAAGTTTGACCTCATCTCCTATCTCTGGGATCGATCAGCCAAGTTTGTTTTTTGGCAAGACTGTTGACCTTGAGAATATGGGCAGGCATCTCACGTTCCTCAGCTGCTTTGCCTGGTGTTACTTGAGAGGAATCCAGGGTTTGGGCCCTCTCAGAGACAGTGTGATGAGTTGATAAATGCCCATGCTTTGCCCAGAGGGCCACAATGAACTAGAGGTCATGGAGCAGTTACAGAAATCACTGCAGGTGCATCCATCTCTATTCCCACAGGGCACCTAGACATATTGCAGATCTGGTCCAATGACAGCTGACCGTGTGAAGGAAGATGAACCTTTGCTAGCTGAGACTAGATTTTAACATCTCACAGCAAAGCTGAAACCTGCTGTGCAGGCTCTAGAACCTCTCCCTACCTGAGAAGTGCATCTGTCATAAAGAAATGAACTGGACACAGCAACATGACATTAAGGTTAAAATGGAAGGCAAAATAACCATAAAACACTGTTCTGCACTGTGGAACTCCACAGTAAGAGAAGCTGGAGTTGTAATTTTCAAGATAGACAGAGGAAAGCACTATCAAACAGGAATGATAGGGAGATGACCTGTACTGGCAGATTCCATCAGTGGAGCCCAAATCCCAACTTCTGTTACTTAAATAGCCCAACATTCACAGATGACCTCAAGAATGCTTACCAAGGTACTTTCCTTCAGTGAAGAGAAAACAAAAATAAAACAAACAAAGCAAAAAGATAAAATAAATTTTAGAAGAAGAAGAAAAAGAAGAAGAAAAAGAAGAAAAAGAAAGAAAAAAAAAAGAAAAAGAAAAAAGAAAAAGAAAAAGAAAAAGAAAAAGAAAAAGAAAAAGAAAAAGAAAAAGAAAAAGAAAAAGAAAAAGAAAAAGAAAAAGAAAAAGAAAAAGAAAAAGAAAAAAGAAAACCTGGGGAAATAAGGAGCCTTCTTCCCCCAAGGCATGCAAACAGTGAGTGTTTGAGGGTGAATCAAGAAACAAGCCCCCTACATCCTTACAACTGAGGACCCTCCTGCTCCCTTCCAGCAGGCAGCAGTACATAGCAAGTTCTGGTTGGCTGTGAATGCATGCTTGAGAGTTAAAGCCCTTAACACGAAGAGAGATCAAAGATTACAGCTAAGGTGACTCCAGCCATTCCAGAGCATGTGCTTTTCTTTTCTGGCTTCTGACTTTCTGCAAGTCTCATGGAAATCCCATGCTGATTTTTAAATAGTCAGAGTGTCCCCTGGCAATGAGATACAACATCTTGAACTTCAAGAAGAACAGCTAAATGTTTTTTGCAAAGAGTTCAAAGTGATGAACAGCCATTTTGCTTGGCTCTAGTTACCTTAATAGGAATGTAAAAGGAGAGAGACTTGATCCAACTCTCCTCCGTGCTGGCACAGGAAACTCCGTTACTATTTCTGTGCCCATGTAACAGGCTTAGAGGTTCTAAACATTTCGTTCTTTTCACCTTTCCTCATCATAGGTCATTTCTTCTAATCCCTTTAGCATCTTTGTGGTCCTTCTCTGGATTTGTTCCAACTTCCCTGGGTCTCTGTTGCAGCAAGGTGCCCTGAACTGCACAGTGCAATGCTGCAGCACTACAGGGGAGAGTCACTCTGGAGAGCACACAGCCAGGAAGACATATGGACCAACAGAGCAGTAGCTTTGCCAGACATCAGGATGCACATCAGCTCACACAATTTGATAGCCTGTCTCATTGGGACCTCTCTGAGCATAAGCTACTTTGGCCACCATGCTCTGCACAACACGAAATTTGGAGATTCTCCTTGTTCCAAAGTAGACTCAGTATCATCTTTGAACTACCCAGTGCTAATTATCACTTGTTTTACCAAAGCCCATTCACAATGATCATTTTTTCAGCCTAGCTCTTATTTTTTTCTACGCTGATTTTTTTTAGTATTTTTTGGTTCTGTCAACTGCAAATTTGAGAGTGATCACTTTTACATTCCTTCCAGGTAATCAATGAGTATTTACAGTCAAAGCATTGTCCTTTTGGACATCATCTTTGCAGAAGGATAAAGAATATCTCTAACCCTTCTGTTTACATTCTGTCATTAAATCCATTATTCATTTCACAGGATTTGTATCAAAACCAATTTGATCTAATTTGCCTAATAAGATTTTGCACAGCTTTGTGTCAAAAGCTCATGCATGGTCCAGAGTCAGTCTATTCACTGCATTCCTTTTGCCCACTAATTATCTAAATGCATCAAGAAGGGTTATTGTCTGCTGTACTCCTGTTTCATAAACCCACTGCTGTTTATCACTAACTGTGTTCTTAGCCTTTATGTCCTCGTAACTGCCCTCAGAGGAGCATGCTCTGACCTCAGTGATTCTGGATGTAAATATACAAGTTTAGACCAAGTCAGGACTGTGCTTTAGGTTTTTATCCATCAGCGTTCTCTCCTTTGGGCAGCAATGTTGGTTAATATTACAAGTTTCCTCAATTCTTCTCCAGCCTTTCATCTTTTGCTATTTCTCTGCAATGGTTGGTATTTAGCCATTACAGGCTTATGAGTTTAATGATCTTTTGAGAACAACAGCAATAATAAGAGAAGGAAAAATTGCTAGATAGGGAGGAACAGAAAGGGACAGAAGACTGGAGTTATAAAATTAAGGCAGTAGTACCCCTGATTTTCATTCTTTTAAACATCAAGGATTTAAAGTTTGGGATTGACGCAGGTAAGGCTATTTTATTGCACATCCTTCTGGGTTATTTTTGCCTGAAATAGTAATTTGTACCTACATTCAGCTCTTTACCCCACTTATGGATTTGGAAATGACAATAATTCAGTAGTCTTTGTGTATAAGTGAGAAAA